CTGAAGAACAAAACGACAGCAACTTGTCTGTTCCCCTTCCCCCAATTCCCCAGCACTGTTCCCCTCCCCCAATTCCCCAATAAAAATCTTTAAAAAAAGGAAAAAAGAAAACGCTCTCTGAAGAGAAACGCTAACGTGCAGACGCGATCATGCATTCCCACAGAACATCTAGAGACGTAAATACCTGTTCCTGCAGGTCGTAGTCGCAGCTGTCATGCAGCAGCAGACTGAGGACGTAACGAGTGTAAATCATGGCATCGATGCCACATTTCTCTAGCTCTTGTCCCAGCCAGGTCTGCACTGGACCCAAAGCATGAAGCAGAGACATTTCAGAAACAGATCCCGGGTCTGGGTCAGAGCTGGAGGAGCCTTCAGATGGTAAACCACCCACAACAACTGGACAGACAGGGCGCATGAATTTAGGTTGCTGACATCCTTAGAAGGCGAAGCATTTTCTGGAGCGGATGTTGTGTTGTATCTGGAGGGGATTTTTCACTCCAGTGAGAAGGAGAGAAGCTGGGCATCTAGGAGAAGCATGGAGCTGTGCTGGCCGTCATCCGTCTAGAGCAGCATTTCCCTCCTCAGGCACGGCCAGTGAATGAATCAGCATCATGACAGCAACACACATGGAGGTGCGACTTCCTGCTTTAATTGCACATTGAGGCCAAATGTAAGTCTCGGGCAGAACCTACAGAAATGAGAGAGAAAAAAAGGCATGCGTTACAGAGAGATATAAACTAAGTTACTGATCTTTTGGGGGGAAAAAAAATCCCAAATGAACTGTTCTTCTTTATTAAAATACCTTTGATATCTTAGAATACTGATTTCTTTTGCTGTAATTTTTGACATTTTAAGCTAAGTAATATTTTAAACTTTTAAAGCTTAATGTAATTTAAAAGAAAGGAAAATTCAGACATTTATAACTTCGTGCTTGTGCTCCATTATACTGTTTATTTTGCTATCTCAAGAGATTGGACTAGTAAAATCGTGTTTATCTGTAGTGCTCAAATCACTCGTCATTTTTAAGTACGACAGAAATAAGCAACTGAATAGTAATTTCATTGAAACATTGGTAAAAAAATTAGTCCTTTAAATTTAGGCTTTACCATAAGTAATCAATTACTTTGTATGCCTAAAGCCTTTGGACTTGCTCATCACTTACTTCATAAAAACAAATTGAGAAATGGATTTGTCTTAGAGCCGCGCCAGGCTGTTCTGTTAATCCTATTGTAATTTTTATTCTTATACATCTAGGTTGACTTTTTGATGACTTGTGATAGATACCACTCTTTAAATTTTATAGCTTTCCCCCTAAATTAACATATTTTCAATATGTCAAACTAATATAACAGTGGCCTTATTAAATCGTAATATTCTTTGTGTTAGAGTTCTGATTAATTTATACCACTAGAAAATGAAAATTAACGTAGTGATAAGTAAATCTCATTGGCTTACCTTTCACAAAAATTTTAGGAGACAGTAAAAAGCCTACCAAAAATTATTTTTAAAGAAGTATTAAAAAAAAAGTATTAATACTTATTGTTAGTAAAAGCATCAAATCAGAAAGACACACACTCTTCCCAAAGGTTTAAGACTCAGTTTCTTGCATTTCATCTATAACTACAAAGCAAATTTTACGTCCATTAAATATAAAAACAAATTGTTTAAACCCACCACAGGACTAAGTTCCTAGATTAATGTATCACTGAGGCACATTCTGCTACTTTCTAAAATCTTCTCTACCATACTCTCTTTTCTGATTTGGGAAAACTAGATAAATTAAAGCAAAGGTTTTCAGTAATTTTCACCTGCTGAAATTTTCCAGCTGACTCTCAAAAATAAAACATTTCCCATAAATTCTCTAGTATGTTTGGATCTCAGGATGCCAAACAGATCATCAATTAACCAATGCGTTCAATCCTGGGGACGCCACTTGAAGCATCGGTACTCCTTCAATGAAGCTCGCCCATGACGGTGAGGAAATCTGAAGCGGTGGCTGAAGGCAGTGGGTGACAGCCGCTGAGGCAGCTGGAGTTCACAGGAAGAGTACCAGAGAAGAGAGCGCTGCGCAGAGGCACAGGCGCAATCTGCAAAGGTCCCCCCAGCACTGAGCAGAGCCAGAATCAGAGCACCCTGTGAGGAATGCCCTGAGGCACAGGAAAGGATCGTCACAAAGAACAGCAGGAAACAGGGCCTGATGCTCAGCATGGCTGGGGGTGGTGCCTGCTTCCCACTCACCAGAGGGGACACTGGGGCAAGCCCTCGGAAGGGTCATGCCTTAGTAATGGGGAGTTACTAGCCTCAGACTAAACACTGCTCTGGTCCTGCCTAACACATCTTGAAAGCAAGACCCAAAAGAACCAAACTGTTTTCAACTAATTTCACCAGGGTCCCAGAACAAAGCTCAAAAAATTTATAGGAACACAAAAACCTCCAGCATCCAAGAAAGTAAAATTTACAATGCCTGGTATCCAATCAAAAATGAGCAGACATGCAAAGAAGCAGAAACAAAGGAAGTGGAAACGAAGAGAAAAATAAACTAACTGAAACCAACTCAGGATTGACACAGAAGTTACAATGCGCAGAAAAGGACTTTAAAACAGTTATTGTGACTAAATGCCATATATCTGAAAAGTAGACAATAGAAGATATAAAAGACATAAAGTCAAAGTCAAACATCTAGAGACGAAAACTACATAGGGTGGGGATTAATTGGAGACTAGAAATTTCAGAAGAAAAGATTACTGACTCTTAAACCGCAAAAGAAACTACACAAAACTAAGTACACAAAGGCCTTTAAAAAATTCAGAGCTTCAGTGAGCTGTGTGACAATTTTAAGGAATCTAACAAGCATTTAACTGGAGGAGAGAGAGAACGGGACAAAGAAAATCTGAGGAAATCATGGCCAAAATTTCCCAAAACTAATGAAAACTAAAACACACATATCCAAGAAGTTCACTGCACTACAAGCCTAAGAAATATGAAGAAAATAACATGTAGGCACACTATAACAAAACTATTCAAACCAGTGATAAAGAGAAAAACGTTAGCGCCGCCAGAGGGGAGGGGAATATTAGGCAGAGCAGAACAAAGATAAGGATGGCCTCACATTTCTTGTCGGAAACAATGCAAGTGAGAAGATAATGGGCAAAAACTGTAAAGTACTAAAAAAACTTTCAACTTAGAATTCTATACTCATCAAAAATACCTTTCAAAATGAAAGTGAAAAAGACTTTCAGATATTCAAAAGCTGAAATAATTCATCACCTGCAAGATATGTTAAAGGAAGTCCAGGCAGAAGGAAACTGATACCAGAACAAAATGTGGACCCACACAAAGGAACAAAGAGCACTGGGAAATGCTAACTACATTTTTATTATTTAAACATCTTTAAAAGATAACTAAGTGACGAAACAAAAACAACAGTGTATTGTGAGATTTGGAAAATATATATATATATGTATATGTGTATATATATATATATATATATATATATACACATATACATATACACACACACACATTTAAGTAAAATGTATGACAACAATAGCATAAAAGCCAGGAATGGAGATGAAAAACTATTATAAGGGTCTTAAATATTACATGAAATAGTATAATATCACTTGGAAATAGACTGTAAAAAGATAGCTATTAACAATAATAAATTTAAATGGTCTAAACAACCAATTGTAAGACAGAGAAGGAACGACTGGGTTTTAAAACAGCAAGACCCAGTTATTATATTCTGGCTATAAAAATATCCACATTAAATATAAAGACAAAAATAGGTTAAAAGTAAAAGGATGGGAAAAGATATAGCAGCCAACACTAATGAAAAGAAAATTGGAATGTCTACATTAATATCTGACACAGAAGATTTCAGATATTAAATTATAAATTAATAACAGAAAGATGCCTGGAAAATCCCCCAAATATTTGAGAATTAAAGAACAGATTTCTAGGGCTGGCCGAGTGGCGCGATAGTTAAGAGCTGACTTGGGACGCCAGAGGGCCCCAGTTCGGATCCCACATATGAGGGCCAGTGACACTGCCCTCCACAGCTAAGATGCTGAACAACAGCTCAACCTGGAGCTGGGCTGCTGTGAGTCGCCGGAGGCGGCAGCCCCTATGGCAGTGGGTTGCCATGGGCTACCGTGTGTAGCCAGCAGCCAGCGTGAGCGGCCAGCAGCCATGGTGAGCGGCCGTCCAGAAGCCGGTGACTGATCTGCCTCGCCCAGGAAGAGCGCAATGATGGTGCCAACTTGGGCCAGTGAAGCAATGTCCTCCACAACTAGACTGAAGAACAAAAGGACAGCAACTTGTCTGTTCCCCTTCCCCCAATTCTCCAGCACTGTTCCCAACCCCCCAATTCCCCAATAAAAATCTTTAAAAAAAAGAACAGATTTCTACATAACCAACTGGGCAAAGAAGAACTCAGAGGAGAAATTAGAGTGTATTTTTAAACTGACTGAAAATGAAGACACAACATATCAATATTTTTAGGATGCAACTAAAGCAGAACTTAGGGGAAAATTTAGAGCATATATTAGAAAAGGTCTCAAATCAATGACCTCAGTTTTGACCTTAAGAAACTAGAAAAAGAAGAGCAAATGAAACCTAAACTAAACAGAAAAGAGGAATAAAATATTAGAGCAGAAATCAGTAAAATAGAAAACAAAAAAACAGTGTAACTAAAGCTGGTTCTTTCAGACAACGAACTTTGCAAACCTCTGGCCAGACTATTCAGGAAAGACCGAAGGCATAAACTACCAATATTTGAATGAGAGATGTGAAATCACTACAGACTCTATAGGTATAAAAAGGATAAGGGGTATTATAAAAACTACACCAATAAATTAAACAACTTAGATGAAATGGACAAATTCCTTGAAAACACACATTACCAAAGTTCACTCAAGAAGAAACATAATAGCCCTGTATCTATAAAAGGAACTGGATTTATAGCTTAAAACTTTCCCACAAAGAAATCTCCAGGCCCAAATGGCTTCAAAGTTGAATTCTACCAAATATTAAAGGAAAACATAATATCAATTCTATACACACTCTTCCAAAAAATTGAGGAGCGACTACTTCCCAAATCATGTTAGGAAGTTAGCTTTATTCTGACACCAAAACCAGACAAAGATATATTACAAGAAAACTACAGACAATATGCCTCATGAACACCGATATAAAAATTCTTAACAAAATTTAGGAAATTGCGCCCAAGTATATGCATCAGACCCAGAAGGTGCAGGGATATCAGAAGAACGTTGTAAATGAAATCCACATAATTACCTTTGCCATGGAACCTGTAATATACTAGTTTCACTGTAAACTCAGTATAAGGCTTTTTTTTTTCATTATTTAAATGTAAAATGCCTTTGAAATTCACACCACGACACACTTGGTTCACTGTAAATACAGACTAATATAGAAACACTGCTTTAGTTTTTATTATCATTACTTTAAAACATGGTATCAACCCAACCATAGGATTCTCTCTGATGTCATCATGAGATTTCCCGTTTCTTTGGCCAAGTGAAAGGATTCAAGGAGGTGAGAAAAAAATTGGCATACAAATGCAAAATAAAGCAAAGCACATTGAACTTCCACCATCTCATCAAAAAGCTGGTTAAACCCTTTCACTTGCATTAGTATCCCTAACAAAACTCTTCCTGTAACGCT